ATCGCCTGGCGTAGTCCTCTACAGAATCCATAATATTTATGCAATTCGTACGCCAGTTGAAGGATCTGGGTTCCCTAAATTTAGGACCTTTTAAAATTAGTGATCTAAGGTCCTGATTATTAACTATATTAACGTCACCAGTAATAACGTGTCCAGCAGGACTATAGTTATAGGGCGAAGAAGAACATGAACACGATGGAGGGTTATGTTTCAGATATTCGATATCCAGGGACTGTAAAGTTTTCTTGTAATTAAAAAGTTTGGAAGCAATAGTCGATGTATATTTGTAGGAAATACAAGGTGTAGTCTTTAACTTGAAATATGGTGGAATAATAATAATAATAACTAGAAACTCATTGCGAGCAATGAGAGGTCTTCCGTTCGATTCTGAAAATAAAAACGAAAATTCAAGCTGAAAAAGTGATAAAAGAAATTCAGACACTTTAGATTTAACCCTGATCGTCAGTGTGAAAATCCAACGTGATTATCTTTGATCACTTCCTGTGACAAGCGGAAGTGACGACTGACGCGTTTAACCCAAATGGTTTCGCCTACTCCTCAAGGTCTATTACTCATAAAAGATTGGTCTTTTAATCTTTTACCTGCTTTTGAGATCTCGCTCAGAAAATTTCTCATTTTGAGGATAGAAAAACACGCGACCGGAAGTGAATTTTTGAACGCTATTTAAGATTACCCTAGACATATGCACTCTGAATAACATATTTAAAATTCATTTCAAATACTTAATCTATAAAGAATATTTAAGGGAAAGTAAAATATTCAAATTATTTAGTTTTTCTCCTATAACCGGAAGTTGTCGTTTTTGTTTCCGGTGGGACCAACATCTTTCGAATCTGCGAAAAAGATACAATAAAGTGATGCAATTTTTAATTAAAAAAAAGAAAAGTTGAAATTTTCGATTTCTTTAATCACTTCCTGTGACGACCGGAAGTGACTGCTGACGCTCTGAACTCAAATGGTTTTGCCTACATCTTAAGGTCTGTTGCTCATATAAGTTTGGTGTCTTAATCTCTTACCGTGTTGGAGATCTTGCTCAGACAACTGATAATGTGATATTCTTTGCATGTAAAACAAGAAGTCTGTGAGCGAATGCTCACTAGTAATACCCCCGCTCTGATGTGAACACACAAGTTTATTTTTGGACAGACACAGGGATAAACAAGAAGTTGACATCAGATTCATACAAAAATGAATCCCACCATATAACATGCCTAAACAATGAGTGTGCTAAACTTTCAAGCATCTGCAAAAAGTAGTTGCTGAGAAATCTGCAACCAAAATTTGTAATGTATGGTATGGACAGACGCACGGATAAACAGAAAGTTGACGTGGGATTCTCACAAAAATGAATCCCACCATATGGCATGCCTAAACGAAGAGTGTGCTAAAATTTCAAGCATCTACGATGAATAGTTGCTGAGAAAACTGCGACCAAAATTTGTTATGTATGGTACGGACAGAACCACGGATAAACAGGAAGTTGACGTCTGATTCTCACAAAAATGAATCCCACATATGGCATGCCTAAACAAAGAGTGTGCTAAAATTTCAAGCATCAGCGATGAGTAATTGCTGAGAAAACTGACCAAAATTTGTTACGGACAGACAGACGGACACACACACAGACAGACAGACAGACACACAAGGGTAAAACAGTATACTCCCCTCTCCTTCGGAGCGTATGTATAATTATATTTATATATGCTTGTAGTAAAGACGCCTAAAATATTACATGGGCCTTTCAAAATGCAAGGATATTAAAGATTTCTTTTAAAAAATGAGAATAGCGCAGAATTCACGAAGAAAAAAACGCTCAATGTCGTTTATAAAGATGAAAAAGGTAAATTAAAACTAAGAAATGAGAAAGAAAATTTAGACATAATTGGGAATAACCCAGATCGCTTGCTTTAAAATTCAATATGGAAACCACTACACCAGCGCAATTTTACCATCCATCATCGATTTTTGTAGCAATGCTTGAAGAAACAAGCGTCAAGGAGGATAAAAGCTTTATATATATATATATATATATATATATATATATATATATATATATATATATATATATATATATATATATATATATATATATATATATATATATATATATATATATATATATATACACGGCGGAATTATAGAATGCGAACTAGTTAGCCAAATTTTGTGCAAGCAGATTGACATCGGAATTCGTTAAGGTGATTCGAACCTGTCGTGAAAGTAATTGGTAAATTAAAAGATAGGTACCCTCAGATAGAGGACAAGTTTGTGGTTTAGGAATCATCAAATTTGATATATGCTAATGCGTTTGTTTCCATGGCAACAACCTCTGAATATGCCCTTGTTTAAAAATGTAAAAGCTGTGAAAAAAATCCCATTGCCATTAAAGAAAATAACAAAAAACTCACAAATTATTATCAGAATTCATTTACTTGGAAATATATAATAGGGTAGCAGATTAACTTCATTTTGTCATTCTTTATACATAGATATAACATTCAAACAGCACTCTATGGCAGTCTGAATTTCCTGTCTTCTTAAACATTGCCAATTTTTTCTTAACCTTGACAACAACCACAGATATAAAATCGCACTGAAAGTAATTGGATATTTATTTTTTTAACTCCATTTTAAAAAAGAGATGTATAGCTAAGTAATAAAGGGGAATAATTGGTATGTTCATGAGTCAGATAAAAAGATATGCTAATCCGAATTTTCTCTGACCTTTTTTTAAAAAAATACCCTGAAGCACATATATCTGCAATGGAGGCTACAAAGTCAATCAAAAGTAATCAATTTTCAATTCAATTAGTCAATTACGTTAAAAACAAACTTGAAATCAAACTTTTGAAGGACAATTAATGTAAAATTTCAAGAATTTTGAAAATTTACATTCCAAATTTCTTATGTTTTTTTCTTCAAAACTTAGACTTTCAAATTGATAGTTGGTAAATAAAACAGATCACCTAATATCATGATATATATATTTTTATAATTTTTTAAGGTGTGATATGTATACCTAATTTAGAAAATAATCCTGGCATATATACACAGTTAAGGTGAAAAAAAGTGCACATTAATCATCTGAATTTCCTCTGACTTTTTTTAAAATAACAAACCTATGATGTACAATATTTGTCTAAATTCAAAAAAAAAAAAAAAAAAAAAAAAAAAAAGAAAAAAAAATCCCTGTGACCAATCTTTCCTAAAATTCAAAATATGTACAGTCCCTGAAACTTTCTACTTTTCCACTTGAACGGTGAATGAACGATGAGCGAACGGTGAGTGAACGGTAAATGGAACTGGGTGAACGGTGAGCGAACGCAGAGCGCAAACGGAGCGCAAACACCAGCACAAAGTGAACGCAAGATAAACGCAATGTGAACGCAAGATAAACGCAAGGTGAGCGATTTTTTTTTCAATGCCTCAGGTGTTTCCTTCACACTGTACATATTCTATAATCAGATTAGAAATAAAATAAATTGAAAAAAATAAGAAATAAAGGCTGAACGATTAGTGAACGGTGAGAGAACGGTGAACGCACGGTGAGCGAACGGTGAACGCTTTGTGAACGGTGAACGCGAACGATATGTGAACGGTGAACGCAAAACTGTAAACGGAGAGCGAACGGTGAGCGCACGCTGAATGCACGGTGAACGAACGGAAAAATGGGAAAGTAGAACGTTTCAGGGACTGTAGGAATATGGAACATAATGCTATATATATATATATATAACATAAATTTCTGTAAATTAAGAATCTCACTGAAAGATTTACATCCAAATTTCCTCTGTATGAACACAAAAAATAATTTTTACGGTTTAAAAAAAAATAGAAAAAAGCATGAGAAAAAATGACAATATCAGTGCTAACTTTTGCAAGCTCTTGCTGAAAATATTATAAAAGGACACACCATATGGAGAAAACAGACATTGGTATAGCAAAAGTATCTCAAGAGAGCATATAATTTATGCTGCTGTTCTGTTTATACAGAATGGTTTTTAATCTCAAGGGAGGTTCTGCACAGTTTTTTTATATTCTAATTAAACTAGCTTCTTTTATGTGATCTCTAACATGAATGTTTCTTTCCTTTTCTTTTTTTTCCAACTTGAATCTTTTGACTTGCTGTGGCTTTCAATTGGTAAAATTCTGAGGAACATGTAGGTCTTTTATAGCAGCTAGAGCAAACATTTCAGTCATGGGTGGCAAGTGGTGGAAACAAAAAAAGATGTGATCCTTAGCCTGAAAAAAAAAATTCTTCAGGTATAGCCCTACTGAAAGGTGGACAAGGATTATAGCAATACATGTAATCATGTAACACCTATTATAAAGTTACTCAGTACTCAGTTATCATTTTTATTTTCATAATATAATTGTAATAAAAATAGTATTAAAAAATTGTAATAAAAATAGTTTTAAACCTATGGAAGGAAGGAATTTTTACACAACACATGAATTTTTGTTTATAAAATGTGTGTGATGCTTCAGCATTCAATACACCATAACACAGATGAGGAGGTCAAAAGTTTAATTTATGATTTTTTTTTTTTTTTGATCAGAAATGTTGATATTTATTTATTATTTATTCATACCCAGCCTGATGGTTTCAATATCAAGGTTATTTATCAGTGCATCTGGATCAAAAAGAACATACTGCAGAGAGTTTACTAAGGTTATACATTTTGACTGCTGATTGATAAGAAATCCATTCTGACTGTTCCTTTAGCAGCTTTCAAAAAACCTGTTGAGATAATAAATCACACATAGGTATTCAATTTACAAGTGAATTTTATAGGCATTCCTTTAACAGTGTTTAACACTATATATTTATGTCAATTTAACTCTCTTGAATTTTAACGTTTACAAAACAGCAGTACAATTAAAAGTCTGTATCATATTCTATAGCAAAACAACTTTTAAATTCTACTTCATCTTTCATATCATCAAAACAGTTACATCATTAATAGAGATATCATTACCTGGTATTTATTTCCTTTTACTAAACATCTACAGCCACAAGTAATGAAAATGTTGAATGGCAAAACATTTTTTTAATGTGCAATCAGTTTTCTAGCTGGAATGCACATCAATCCTCCATTATCTCTATCACCTCTAAAGGCTGTATACTGTTTTGGGGATCATCTTTCTCTTAAACATCTTTCTTCCTTTATCTGAAATTAATGTAAAAATAAAAAGTGTTAATTAATATTTATCAAACTGTAACACAATTCTATGATTCAAAAAAAATATTTTGCACAATGCGAGTACATGTACATTTATTTAATTTCCTATTTTTTGCTTTCAAACAAAACAAATAAATGTTTGCAGTGTACAAGCTCATGAACAAGGGTCCTCAATATTTTTTTTTAAATAAGAATATAATATTCGTCAACTGTCCTTCAGCATATTTTTACAAACATCATTTTAAACCGCATGACTTGTTACATCAAGTTTGCAGGTAGGACATCAATTCTTCATTTTTTTAGTGATATTGACCATTGAAATGTTCATGAAATGCAATTATTTCCCCTGAAAATTACCATGATCTCAATTAGCAATAGGCCTTTCAGACTAATTCTGTTCACTAACTTCACTTTACTATCTGTATTATCTTCTCTAAATATTATAAACATGGGACCCATTTTTTAAGTCATTGACAAATATGCATTTTTTTTTTGTGATACAGTGTAGAAATTCTCAGCTGTGTAATTAAATTAAATATTGTTTGAAAAACACAAGTACACTGTACAAAATATGGCAACTAGTATCACAATCGGAACTCACTGATGTCATTGGCTCAATCAAGGTGGGTTTTGTTTTGTTTATTGTCGAAAAGATAACACAGATGTACAGTGTACATTGTTCATATTATTTCTGCATTATTCAAGATAACCTTTCATAATGATATCTTCAAATTTCGTATACTAAAAAGGGACACATCATATAACATTACCACTAAAAAAATTCTGCTGTACTATCTTTTTCTATACATACATGTACTTACAACGCATTCCAAAATCAAAACAGAAAATCTTTTTTTCTGTTTTAGGCATTTTGATCTCAGGTATTGACAAAATCTAACAAAAGAACACAGATTTATAAGATATTTATTCATAAGATTGTGAAATATCAGCGTTTTTCTAATAGAAACACGATCTAGTGTCACAAATAAACTAAAATGTAAATATTTGGAGGAACTATTGACAATTTAACAAGACTTTACGGGGTAAATTTCCCCCGAACGAAAATCATTGATTCACATCTTAAAGATAGCAAAAAACTACAGGGAAAATTTCCTCTCAAAAATGACATTGAAACAGTGTACCTACAGTAATTCAAAACAAAAGCAACCGTCTTTTAGATAGCAAGACTTTATGGGGTAAATTTCCCCCAAAGAATATCATTGTTACAGTATTCCCTACTCTTATAAAAAGCGAACATTACACTTTGAAAATCGCAGAACTCTACAGGGTAAATTTCCTCTCAAAAATGACATTGATTCAGTTTATGTACAGTGTTTGAAAGCAAAAGCAACCATCTTGATGATAGCAAGATTAACGGGGTAAATTTCCCCCCAAAGAAAAGCGCTAATACAGTATTTATGATTCGCAAACATCGTGAAGATGGCAACAATCTACATAGTAATTTTTCTCTCAAAATTCATATTGATACATTTTATACACTAGTGCAGTATTTCTAAGCAAAACACCAATCTTGTAGAAAGCAAGATTTTACGGGGGAAATTTCCCCCCAAAGAATATCTCTAGCTGATACAGTATTCACTACTCTTATAAAAGCGAACATTACACTTTAAAAATTGCAGAACTCTACAGGGTAAATTTCCTCTCAAAAAAAAAACAACAACATTGATTTAGTTTATATAGAGTGTTTGAAAGCAAATGCAACCATCTTGATGATAGCAAGACTTTACGGGGTAAATTTCCCCCCAAATAAAGTCACTAATATAGTATTTATGATTCGCAAACATCGTGAAGAAGGCAACAATCTACGGGGTAATTTTTCTCTCAAAAATGACATTGATGCAGTTTATACACGGTATTTCAAAGCAAAAACAACCATATTTTAGATAGCAAAACTTAACGGGGTAAATTTCCCTCAAAAGAATATCACTCATACAGAATTTATGCTTCACAATATCTTGGCGGTAACAAAAATCTACAGGGTAAATTTCCTCTCAAAAATGACATTGATTCAGTTTATATACAGTGTTGAAAGCAAAGGCAACCATCTTGATGATAGCAAGACTTTACGGGGTAAATTTCCCCCCAAAGAAAATCATTGAAACAGTATCTTTGATTCGCAAACATCTATAAGATGGTTACAATCTATAAGGTAATTTTCCTATTAAAAATTACATTGATACAGTTTATATACAGTATTTCAAAGCAAAAACAGTCATCTTTAAGATGGCAAGACTTTACGGGGTAAACCCCCCCCCCCTGCAAGAATATCACTGATACAGAATTTATGCTTTGCAATATCTTGGAGGTAGTAAAAATTTACGGGGAAAATTTCCTCTAAAAAATATTACTAATACAGTCTACATCATACTTAAAAAAAAGAAACATTAAACTTTGAAAAAAGCAAGTATGTACGGGGTAAATACCTCCCTCCCAAAGACTATCAATAATACAGTTTATGTTATTCAAAGCATGAACAAACACTGCAACTCGATGATAGCAAGACTTTACGGGATAACCCCCCCCCCCCCCACAATAAATATCACTGCTGCAGTTTATATAATTCACAGAATAAAACAAATATTACTTTTTGAAAAAAGCAGAACTTTTCAAGGTAAATTTCCTCTCATAAAATAAACTAATTCTGTATATATTGTTTACAGAAAAAGCATACATTACAACTTGATGACAAAAAGACTCGGGGTAAATTTCATATCAAAGAATATCAATAATATATTATTTTTATATTACAAACGATACTTTTATCTTAATATCATGCAAGCTGGAAAAGCTGAATATTAAAGTTATCATAATATTAAACCTTCTGAACATAGAAAAACATACAAAAACATAAAAAAAAACCTCTGACATCTTTCTTTCTCTGTTAAAGGTATAAGATTTCTTTGTGTCCCGTTACACTTTCTTTATTTAAACAGCGTCCTCCTTTAATATCTTTGACCGAAGTTCCAATACTATGCTTTTCTCTTGGCTGATACACTAGACAGATTGTAGAGTGCATTTTCCAAAGGAAATCTGGCAACCATATTCTGAACCAATCCATAGTCGACCTATGGATGAAAATTTTAAGTCTCATAAACTTCAATTTTCCAAAGCCTTAGGCATTTATATATGATTTCATGACAGATATGACTGGTTTAATATTGCGCACTAGAGTAGATCAGCAGGTGCCTGCTCCCGAATTTTTGTAAAACAGTCTTTCTGTTTATATTGCATGGAAATTGCATTCTTCTAAAGATCCCTCCCCCCAAAACACACTCATATACACACATACATTTATACATGTTTCTGAGAATAATGCTCATTCGTGATATGGATCTACATAAGATAATTAAAAAAAGTTAAATGCGCTTACTGTAGTATTATATTTGTATTGTACATGTATTACTGATGCCCTCTAGGTCCATCATGGACATTTTTTAAGGGGAAGTGAGAGAGGTAACTCAGAGAGCATATGCAGATAGTTTTTATTGCAACCTAAATGTTGGTTAAAGTTTAACATTTCAGCTTCAATTATTTCACGGAATAAAGAAAGCAACCAAGTTCTGAAATCCTTATGCTGCGCAATGGAATTGTAGATCAGGAACAAATTTAAATGCAGATACTGCCTAAAAATACATATATCGTGACATATATAAAATTGTATATTTACCTTGTTTGTTCAAGATTTGGACTTGAATTTGTAGTTCAGTTCCAGTACAAAGCAGTCTCTTTTGCATCGAATCGTCCATAAAAGTACACTTTTGAAACATGCTTAAAGTACTTGCGTCCACAAAACTGAGAGGTCACCTAGCTTGGTTTCCTTTCCCTAATTTGCTTAGTGTTCTGTGTGACCTTTGGCGTGGATGAGCAAGGGAACAAGGCAAAAGAACGCCGGCCATATCAATACGGCCAATAATATTTAAATTCCCAACTCACTATTCATCATATAGTGTATATTACAGGGAAACGGACAAATTGCTTTCAAGGAAAATTAGTGAATTTATCAATGGGTGGTTGCGAGAAAAAAAATTGAGGTGATCAGTTCCTCATCACTTTACTGTTTACTCTTCCGCTGCGTGAATTCCAGATGTCAATCAACCCTTTTATTGGCTAGCATTGCGGTCATGTCATAAATCTGACCTAAGCTAAAATAATTTCTACATTTTCTCAGCATCCATGTCTTGATCTATAAAAAGCACAGGTTGACCTTCTTAAAACTGTGACATTTTACATATACTCTACTGCAGTTGCATACGCGTCATCTATTCATGTGGCAGTTATTATTACTTTACTAAATATGTAAGATGTGAAAAATTATGAACAGTTATTCTTTTTCAGTTGATCTTTCTACTCTGACACAACTTTAGGTTGAAAAAGAGAAAATAAAAAATAGCTAATGAAAAGCAATATTGATAGAACGTATTATTGACTTTAGAACTCGAATATATTGTACATCAATTTAAAAATTAAAGAAAAAATATCCACCTTCGTATTGCTTTCCATATACTGGTGTCTACCTTTCCTAGCTGTATTCTTTGCGGAGTATCGGATGTCAAGTGCAAAAATTAATGAAAGAATGATAGACAAAAATTTAAACATAAGATTTTTCATGTACCATAAATACAGTGACGAAATCTATTACTGTTGTTTATATTTTTCTCTTTACAAGTCTCTTTTCCCGAATTTATAACACGTTATATTTTGTATACATATACATGTGTATATGTACAGATTAAGAGAAATGTACATGAATAAAAAAAAAAAAAACTACAGGTATACATGGTAGAGGCCGTGTACCATTATTTTAAGCAGGCTCATACCGGCAATCGTATATTAGATAAGTAGAAAGAAGAAAAAAGGAATTCCCCGAGTGTTTTTCGAGTATTAATCTCAGCTAACTTCTTATGATACCATTTTTTGTGATTAATTTTAATAATTGAATATTTAAACACTGCACATATAGGCAGAAT